CGANACACAGACACACAGACACACACACACACATATATATATATATACATAAACATAAACATGTACATGTACAATATATATATATAGGTATATATATATATATATATATGAGAGAGAGAGAGAGTGTGTGTGCGTGTGCGTGTGTGTTTGTGTGTAGTTGTATCCGATACGCAAAAAGTGTATGCATATTTTGAACAGTACCGTTCTTTAAAATTATGTTGATACATGCGTACACACAAAAATACATCTGAGTATAATCAAACCAATGTATGCAGATTAGAAATTAAAATACAGCACGGAATATGGCGATTGACCTACTGCGATTAAGTTAAGTTCAACCCACCGACCACGATATACTTAAAGAAGAAGAAAAGTGATAATAGTGCTCGAGCTCTTTCACGATACCTGCACGTCCGTACGGCAAGCGTCTCTAGTGCCGTCCAATCGAGCAAAATAACCGCTACATGTGAATGTGCGTGAACATGTGTAGTTCATATTTGGTTTAACTCTAGTGAGCTGCAGTCAATTGCACGCCATACAAACGCGATTTGGATGCAAACAAATGTAAAACATAGCAACAGGAGAGTCTCAAACCTAGGAAATGCACGCATTTCGCTATCATCGCTATGGGTACACCCAATATACAATGCTTTACACTGGTAACTAAAGCGCTCAACACGGGAGGAACCACACGAGCGAAGCTAATCATTTAAATCGATACGTTCACAATACCACGAAGTATTCTACGTGAATATTGTCTAATAGGCATGCACGTTCTAAGTAGTAAACATAAATACAGCAGAAAACAAAATTATGCCGCTGGATAAACAAAAGAAACTCAATACCTTTGGGTTTACTCGGCCCGATTTCCGGCTTCTCGATCTTCTGGGGCGCCGCTGAGTACGTTGTGGGAGCCGCTTTAATCTCCTTCTCCAGAGGTGGTGCAGCGTTTTGCATAGGCTGGTATACACCGTTTAAGATGATGGGATTCTGTTGCTGTTGTTGTAGTTGTTGGTGGTTCACGTGTGGCTGCATCGGCCCTGTCATATGCGGTGGTTGGTGTAAGTGCTGCTGTGTATGTGCTTGCGGTTGATTATGTGGTGGTAGCTGTCCCTGGATGTTTTTCTGTGGTGCATTCTGCATGTATGCTGGCACGGGCCCATTTGCTGGAAATGACGGGCGTGGCTGTGGTTGAGAGGCACCCTGCAATGCCATTCGACTGGGATGCATGGCCCCGGGTGCACTCTGTGTCGGTGCATCTAATTCCAGAGGGGGTCTATTCGGCATATGTAGCTGTTGCTGTAGCTGTTGCTGTTGCTGTTGCTGTTGTGGTGGTGGTGTATACATAACCGGCCGTGGTGGGCCCTGTTGTGCCACGCCGGGCGGTCCTCTAGGCATATCAGTAATCAATGATCTCTGTTGTAAACCACTCTGCGGGGGTCCTTGCGGTACAAATACCGGTGGTCCCGGTGGCCTGAGAGGCCCCTGTGGCGGACCCTGTGGCGGGCCCTGTGGCGGCCCTTGTGGCAAGCCACTACCTGGAGGTCTCTGCTGTGGAGGTTGTCGCATGCCTGGTATAGTATCACCGTGCGGTATACCCGGTGCAGGTGGCCCGTGCTGTGAGTGTTGCGGCGGTATGCCAGATCTCTGTTGTGTATGTGACTGTGACTGTGATCTGGGAGGTGCCGAGGGATGCATTGGGTGACCCTGTGTACGTTGCTGTGTGGGATTGTTATTGAATATCTGTGGTGGCCTGGGAGGTGCTCCCGAGTATGCGCGTTGGTTGTTATTGTTATTCGAAGTATTCTGTGTCTGCATATGTTGTTGACTACTATGCTGCTGTTGGTGTGTGTGTGGAGATGGAAGAGTACTATTACTTTTTCCAATACCCTGCTGTGTGCTTGCATGCACATTTCCATTCGCGCTCGTAATAACTTTCGTGTGCGCAGGTGCAGTGGCACTATCCTTTTCTAATGCGGCCATTTCGGCCTCGAATTTACTGAACTCATCGTCCAACGACAGCGCCTTCCGCTTTGTGCCCATTGTGCTCAGATGGTATATACACAAGCGATTGCTAACTGTATGATGGTGGTACAAGACTGCCGATATACTAATATGCAACTAAGCTCTTTATATGCATAAAAATACATCGCCCTCTTGTATTTTAGGGCTATGAATTTTTATTTATTTGTATGGATGTTTCACAATATGAATATTTGCGATGCAACACCATATATTTAGCAGTCTAAAGTCCACTACACTCTCCTACACAGTCTGCACTTCAGTCTGCACTCTGCGGCTGCCGACTCTACACTCTGATGCGGTTTTTGCCGCGAAGTCGAAAACTTTGTTTTGCGTCAACCCGGGAAAGTAAACCCAGTTATACACGTGCAATAAGCCCGTCGATAACCAAATCTAATATATTTATACCAAATAAAATCTTATCATTATAATCTCTTGTGTGAAATACGTACTTCAACATACTATCGACTCCTCAACCTTGAAGAAGTTATATCTGTACATATTCTCAGCTGTCAATTCCCCAATCGTCTAGCTGAAGATGTCTACGACAGAAGTAACTTTGCCCGCTGAGGTGGAAGATCTCATAGATGAGTTTGATACAGCCACCAGTGATCTGGCGTCACACCTCGAACCGATTTTGAACTGTAATCAAGAGGAGCTCAAGGGTATGTGGGATATAAC